GTTTCTGGCCAGCAATCAATCCAATTTACTGCACGTACAATTTATATGTACAGTACATGCCGCAACAAAACCACAGTGTGATGCCAACAGGGCCCTTCAGAAAGTTTCCCCCTAAATCTCTGGAAAGGAGCTTTAAAAGAAAGCAAGGATTACAGTCAGCGAGAAGGTAGGGAGGGGACTTACCTCAAACCCAGCCAAGCGGAAATCAGAGCAGTAATTCTACAAGTCGACAGAGTACACTTTCAAAGCTCTAATGGTGTGAAGAAGTGCTGGGTAGCATGGCCCGAAGGCACCACTAATACACTGATGACTGATGGCGGGGCCGGGCAGACAATGAATTTGGGGCTTGAAAACTAACAGAAACCATGCAGTCCTTTGACAAATGAGCTTTCACCATTTCATTCATTGAATAACCTTTAAGCACAAAATTGGCTCGAGTTCTCTTGGGAATTATATGACATGCTGCTGGACGGCGATGTTAAGTATATTCTTTTTTTAATCATGACTCGTATGCAAAATGAGAAACGCACCATACGTTGAGGACACAACTCTAGATAACTCAGATGGATGCGTGGGGCGCAACACAATATTGCCTTTCAGGAGGGGGCCGGAATGTTCCAGGGCCACCTTATTAACTATGTAATGGCTTGTTCATTCAGTTTCTTTAGAGAGTCACAGATTCCCTGGGACATTCTGTCGGGCTGAAATATACACACGCAGAACAAAAAACACTTTCACATTTGAAAAAAGAAAAAAGCTGAAAGTGGTCATGAGTAGCTGAAAAGTGTGGCACTAAAAATATAGTGCATTTAGAGTTACAAGTGGAAAAAGTCTAATTTTAAGGGGTGAGGCAAGGGAAAAGTGCCTTAAAACAATTGAGACACCACGTAAAGTGTGCAATCAAATCTACTCGCAAACACATTTAACGTCCAGTTTCTTTCCAAAGGCTCCCCTCCCTCTTCCCCCCTGTAAGAACTAACCCCTCGATGGAAAAATAATAATTTGGGCCATTTTGAAAGAGAGAAATGAAATAGCTCACGTGTCTCTAAATTAACAAATACCCCTTACTCCAGACAGCATTGCCTTTAACAGCTCCTAAAAACTTAAGAAAAGGATCTTAAAACAGGAAGCTTAGTGAGCTCATAAAACTGTTGTTGGAGCCAGGAACACATAGCATATTTAATCTGCAAACTGTGAGAGTCTACAGTGATTTCAGCAAGATCTGAGGCATGCCCTCAAGGTTTGCTGGGATCTGGGATTAGGGGGTTGATAAGAACCTCTACTGCCCATGGACATGTTTTTCTTCTACAGTTAAACACAAATGCAGAGAGACGTTTGACTGCTGCTTGGCGTTACTGCTCAAGTTATAAAAAAGCTTTGCAGCTCCTTTTGCTGTCAATATATCAAAGTTTAAAAAAAAATCATCAAAGTGTGAAATTTCATTTAAAGTCTTCGCCAGTCTACAGCTCTATTTCACAGGCCCATCAAATAAAAGTAAAGATGAAAAATACACTGAAAAGTACTTGAAAAAGTTTGCAGCTCTACCCTTGCCCTGTTGTTGTTTATTCTGTCTCCCTTTATTTGCTTTGAAACGAGAACAAAATCAATTTTCATCTGGAAAAATGACAAGCGAAGTGAAGGGCGGCATCTTTTAGTAGCCTTTAATGAACAGGCAACCTGAAGTCATTTATTAGAGTGGAATCTTTTGCTCAGCAAATGAAACACACACACACACACTCACATACACACACACACAATTTCTTCTATAGTCATGTCAGCGTTTTAATTGACTCTCATGATATAAGTTGGCAGAAAATTTCTTGAATCTTCCAAAACAAATCAGACCAACTCTAGAATATGAATGCCAGCAAAACTAAAACCTCCTTCAAAGAATTCTTTAGCTGGGGATTTACAACAATTGCAGAAAGAAGAAAAGTCTGACTTTTAAGATAATCTACTATAGTCTAAAAGCATTAACATTCCATTACGAAGGTTTTCTGGAGGATTTCATGACTCATTGAGTCACTTTTCCTTCAAGACTGGTTTTTCTTAGTCCATCACTGTCTCCACATAAGTGAGCACAGGGAAGAATGACCATTGCATTGTCTCCTTTCATAAACTCCCAAACCCCATCCTCAAAAAAGGGGGGGGGGGGAATCTCAGAAAGCAGGAAACCTGACAGAGAAGGAAGGACCCCTAAACTGCTAAGCACAGAGGAAGTCTACAACTGTTCCAGCATGCAGGTAATTAAGAAAACTGGCCAAGAAACAAAGGAAAGTCCAACTTTTAGGCTTGGGCATCAACTGCTAAATGAATGACTCTTTCACTAAATAAGTAATGAAATAACTCACCAGGGTCATTTTTCATCAGTACTGAATTTTCTCATTTCTATCTGTGGTCCGCTGCAAAATCAGACATACCAGAAAGACATGCTGATGTCAGGGTTCAAACAAGGAAGACAGACCCGTTCAAGGTACCAGGAATGGGTAGGTATCTGAGCTCAGGAACCTTCTAGCCTCTTCTCAACAATACAGTCTGTTTCTTTTAAAGTGCTTCTGCCTGTGTGAAATTTCACTAGACACCTCTCACATTGGACTCGTTCAGGCATCTGAAACCAAAGCTCCCCTAGGCTGACTTTAAGAATCATATACCCTGAAAGGAGCTCCCCTTAGGCAGGAGTTTCTAATTAAACAGCTTTTAGTATAAAATAAACCTCTTCTCTCTATAAGTACGCCATTACCACTCATTTAAATGTTAGTTCGTGTTTGCTTTAGGTCTGTCTATAGTCTAGCTGGCCAAAGTGTTTGTGTACCAGGTTGTTAAGACCAATATTTCCTAACATAAACAAATTCTTTAGATACTTCACACAGTTTACATTGTTCAGGCCAATTTCCACTGCTTTAATATACCCCCTCAACTGAAATACTGTTCTCCTTTAGAAAAATGAAGAGATTTTGAGGTAATTTCACTACTCTGAAACATAGCATTTTCCTCCTTCAAAATAATCTTGACACATGTAATTAAGAAACTGTCAGACGATTATTAATTTTTAATTTAAAACCTAAATGAAATAATTACAGGAATCAATCAATAAGGCACCTATTCAAATTCCAGAGCAATTACATAAATACTCAAAATGAATACTTCAGGCGAATTCTTGAAGATTTCAGTCTATAGTACGCTAAGATAGCAAAACAACACAAAAAGTCTAACAGGGAAGGGGTCGATGAATAGCTCCTGCCTTTAACAGACCGCAATGAGCTCATTCCAGTTGGCCACGGCTGAGGCCCCCCACCAGCCATGCCCAAAGCACTCAAGCTGGAAGGCTTTTTAAAAGTTAATTTATTTCCACCAGATCCATATTTCAGGGATCTCAAATACACCCCAATTCTGTACAAAATCACATTTGGGAGAGGGGAAAGCCTCATCATCATGAATTTTCAGCACAATGCTCTGGAAAAGACGAACTGGGGCGAAGTGGCAAGAAAGAAACAGGAGAGCAGAAGGTGTTTTCTAGAACCAGTCCGGCTTAATGGCACTGCGCAGGTCTCTGCACGGCGGCCGCCCCTCCATACCTCTGACTAAAGGGTTCTTTTACTTGGAGATGCGGACAGTCCATCATTTCAAACTGAAATGGCAGCTGGAAAATGTGGAACAGCTGGCAAAGAGCTGGGAGAAAATGTTTTACATAAATATATGTACATATAAACTGGCAGAGGGCCACGTTCTCTGTACCCAAGGCCAGAATCTATTCGGGGACTGCACACCAGGGAGATGAGACGCTGGAGGCAGGAGAAACAGCGAGGAGGATGTCTCCTTAATCCTCTTTCTACACGGGGTCAGCCAGGGAAGCGTGGGTCCAGCCCCTCTGGGGATGGCATCTCCCGAAAGAGGTGCAATCAGGGGCATGAGCGCAAAGTTCAGGGAAGGATAAAAGGCCGGGTGTGCAGTGGACCTTCGGCATCTGGCAATCTGCTTAAAAGTCCCTTCACAAACTCTCCAAGTTCGGGGTAAATATTTACTCCCTCTCCACCTCCTCCCGCCCATGTGCCCTCTGCAACTCCAGAAAGTAACTGTCCCCTGCAGAGTGATTCATACCCGACTCTGCTCAGTGAAAACGCGGCCTCTGAGAAGATTATTGCCGGGGCCACGGTTACCACTCCCTCCCTGCAGCTTCTAACGCTTTTATGTCTTTTGTTTTATTTTTCCTCTCTTTCCTTTTGTTTTCTTTTGTGTGTGTGTGTGTTTTAATGCTGTCCCTGGCAAGGAAAAGAAATGAAAGAATCCCAAATCATCCACAGATGGCACAACTTTCACTTTTCCTCTCTCGGGACGGAGGCGCGCCTCTCTCCTCGGGAATCCACCAC